AACTTAGCATAATATACATTATCACACAGGTATGATACTCAGACATCTTCAGGAACACATGTACAGCCCAGAACATACCATAATATACATTATCACACAGGTATGATACTCAGACATCTTCAGGAACACATGTACAGCCCAGAACATACCATAATATACATTATCACGCAGGTATGATACTCAGACATCTTCAGGAACACATGTACAGCCCAGAACATACCATAATATACATTATCATACAGGTAAGATCCTGAGACATCTTCAGGAACACATGTACAGCCCAGAACATAACATAATATACATTATCACACAGGTATGATACTCAGACATCTTCAGGAACACATGTTCAGCCCAGAACATAACATAATGTATATTATCACACAGATATGATACTCAGACATCTTCAGGAACACATGTACAGCCCAGAACATAACATAATGTACATTATCACACAGGTATGATACTCAGACATCTTCAGGAACACATGTACAGCCCAGAACATACCATAATATACATTATCACACAGGTAAGATCCTGAGACATCGTCAGGAACACATGTACAGCCCAGAACATAACATAATATACATTACGACACAGGTGAGATTTTGTGAACAGTTTGTATATAGCACATAGTTTAATTAACACATTTCTAACCCTAGTTCTTGTGAAACCTTTGTGCCCTATGTTTAAAAACCTGTCTTGTTTTCTTTCACTTATCTTTATCAGTTTTCTCTACACATTTCAACTAAATTAAGAAGATAATATGACTAACAGATGACTTGGGCTAACATGACTACCAGATGACTTGGGCTAACGTGACTAACAGTAAACTACCAGATGACTTGGGCTTACGTGACTAACAGTAAACTACCAGGTGACTTGGGCTTACGTAACTAACAGTAAACTAACAGATGACTTGGGCTAACATGACTAACAGTAAACTACCAGATGACTTGGGCTCCCATGACTAACAGTAAACTAATAGATGACTTGGGCTCCCATGACTAACAGTAAACTACCAGATGACTTGGGCTTACGTGACTAACAGTAAACTACCAGATGACTTGGGCTCCCATGACTAACAGTAAACTACCAGATGACTTGGGCTTGCTTGACTAACAGTAAACTACCAGATGACTTGTGCCTGCATGACTAACAGTAAACTAATAGATGACATGGGCTCCCATGACTAACAGTAAATTACCAGATGACTTGTGCCTGCATGAATGACAGTAAATTACCAGATGACTTGTGCCTGTATGACTAACAGTAAATTACCAGATGACTTGTGCCTGTATGGCTAACAGTAAATTACCAGATGACTTGTGCCTGCATGACTAACAGTAAACTAGTACATCAGTTGGGTTTGAATTCTGTAATAAGTACCATACTCTGACTCCTTCAACATGGTAATGAATACTTCAGATTCCAGTTGTAAACAGTTTTAAGGTGATTTATCTCATACTGAATGCATCATTTTTCATTTGTTTGTTTTCTGAATCGTGTTTGACGTCCTTTAGATTCATTGGCTCAAGAAATGTTAAATACAGTGACTCTAACTTCTATATTTTACACACATCAGCAGGTAAAACTGTTACTGTTAAAGATTTCATTTCTGATAAAGGCCCGGTGATTAGGGGGCTTGACTCGAAATCTGCAGGTCACAAGTTTGAATACCCATAGCCAAATATACTCATTTTTTCAGCCATGTATGTGTTATAATGTAATGGTCAATCTCACTATTCATTGGTAAAAGAATTGCCCAAGAGTTGGTGGTAGGTGGTGTTCACTAGCTGCCTTCCCTCTAGTCTGTCACTGCTAAATTAGAGATGGCCTGTGCAGATAGCCCTTGTGTAAAATTCAAAACAGACCAAATCGTTGCTGATAAATATGTTTTGTGATAAATAAGCTTTTGTTCATAGTCAAGGAAGCTGTAATAGTGTTAGTGACTAACATAGTTCTCCTTAACTTCTGTAACATGTGACTGACATGTGACTTTTACAACTAGAACTGGTTTTTGTAGGAACATTAACAGGCCTTATATTATATATAAACAAGATAAAAATATAACAACTAATTTTCTTTTGTGCAATATAAATAAATTGATCAGTTTTACAGTGGAATATATTTAGATTAAAAGAAGTTAAATGTTTTCTGTGTAACTCTGTGGCTTCTATCTTTGATTATAACGTCATTATTTTGATTAAATCAACTTGCTACAATAAGAGTAAAGTAGAGAGTTTCATGGTAGTTACTTGGTAAAGAAAGAAACTGCATTTTAACTGTTACATTGCTTTCCAACTGTAACGTTAAGTTTAAATGTAACTTTAGGAAAATTATTTATTAGAAAAAAAAGAAAGTAATGTAGTAGTTGCTGGTGAAATTAAATGCTTTTAATAGTTACTGATAGCATACAAAATATATCTTATGTAGGAAAAGTACAACAGGTGTGAACCAAGAAACTATGCTGTTAATAGTTACTGATAGCATACAAAATATATCTTACTTAGGAAAAGTACAACAGGTGTGAACCAAGAAACTATGCTGTTAATAGTTACTGATAGCATACAAAATATATCTTATGTAGGAAAAGTACAACAGGTGTGAACCAAGAAACTATGCTGTTAATAGTTACTGATAGCATACAAAATATATCTTACTTAGGAAAAGTACAACAGGTGTGAACCAAGAAACTACCGTTGTAAAGTCTGCCACAACTGGTTTGGACTTTTTGCAACATTTGTGAAACACATGGAAACTGAAAGCCATCAGTACCAATGTATGCACTGTGGACTGTTGTTTGTTCAGCCAGGCCCACGTCGAAATCACATTCAAAGTGTTCACCCTGAGATGTCCAATGTTTGTGAGGTAAGTTGTGTGGATTGTTGTTTGTTCAGCCAGGCCCACATCGAAATCACATTCAAAGTGTTCACCCTGAGATGTCCAATGTTTGTGAAGTAAGTTGTGTGGATTGTTGTTTGTTCAGCCAGGCCCACGTCGAAATCATATTCAAAGTGTTCACCCTGAGATGTCCAATGTTTGTGAGGTAAGTTGTGTGGATTGTTGTTTGTTCAGCCAGGCCCACGTCGAAATCACATTCAAAGTGTTCACCCTGAGATGTCCAATGTTTATGAGGTAAGTTGTGTGGACTGTTGTTTGTTTAACCAGGTCCACATTGAAATCACATCCAAAGTGTTCATCCTGAGATGGCTAATGTTTGTAAGCTGTGTGGACTGTTGTTTATTTAACCAGGCCCATATTGAAATCACATCCAAAGAAAAGTGTTCATCATGATATGGCCATCACTTGTGACGTAGGTTGTGTTCACCGATGCCCACTTTGAAATCACATCCAAGCTGTTCATCCTGAGATGGTCAACGTTTGTGAGGTAGGTTGTGTGGCCTGTTGTTTGGTCACCCAGGCCCACTTCTAAATCACATCCAAAGTGTTCATCCTGAGATGGTCAACATTTGTGAGGTAATTTTTACTCATATAAAAAAGTTACTTTTGTCTTTTTATTTAGAAAATTCAGTATTTTTGATACAAATTTCCTTGCAAGTTCATAGATTACCCTAAAAGTTTAATAAACTCAAGAGTGACAAATGTTTGATTCTGTTGGTATGTTAATGTGTTTTTCTGGCTGCATCACTAAAAGTGATTCAGAATTTCTTTCTGATACAAGCATTTCAATATTTATACATATTTATAGTTACTTAATATTAAGTTCCTAACTTCTGTTGCTAGTACCTAACATGTTGAAAGATTTGATTAATGACTGCCATGTACTTTTACTTTGCTATTTTCATGCAAACTTTTTCATTTGAGAATGCCAAGTTGACTGATGAAATTAAGGAATTTAATAAATCAAGTCTTGATTTATTTTTGATAATCTCCAGATTGCTTGGTTTTATATAAGCAGTCTAATACAGGTAAACTTTACTTAGTGGGGTTACTATTTTCTCTTTAGATATGTGGGGTCAGAATGTCCCACTCTCAAGCACTCTGGAGCCACTTGTCCTTACATAGTATTGTCCACGAGTGTCACAAGTGTCAGCGACGTTTCCTCCAGAGGGAACAGTTGGTGGCCCATATGGAAGTGCATGCGTAAGTTATTGAGTTAACAACTATTATGTTAATTGATGTGTTACTGCCATATTGAGTTATCAAAAAGAGAGTTAACAACTATTATGGTAATTGATGTGTTGCTGCCATATTGAGTTATCAAAAAGAGAGTTAACAACTATTATGTTAATTGATGTGTTGCTGCCATATTGAGTTATCAAGAAGAGAGTTAACAACTATTATGTTAATTGATGTGTTACTGCCATATTGAGTTATCAAAAAGAGAGTTAACAACTATTATGTTAATTGA